CTGCCGTGTCATCTGGCACCTCCTCCACTTCGGCTGGGGCTGCATTGTGAGGCGCCTGTGCCTCTGCCGTGTCCTCTGGCACCTTCTCCACTTGGGCTGGGGCTGCATTGGGAGGCACCTCTTTCACTGGGCCCACACGCGCTCTCACGAGCCATCGCACGAAGTCTTTGAAGTCCTCCAAAGGGTCTCCATCTTCTCCAACATAGATCCAGTCATCGTCCACCCCATGCACCAACTTCACAAACTGGATGTATTGTGTGATTGACTCGTGCTTCGCGGACTGCTGGAGCAGGTTGTCAACATGATCATCAGAAAGGCTATCCAGGAGATCATCCAGGAATGCTTCAATTTCCGAGTCCTCCATCTTCCCTTGCTCAGCAATCTTGACGTACAGGTTCTTCATGACATTGTTGAAGGAAACTTCTGCCTGCAAAATTAGCTCGTGAATCAGAGGACCAAAATTAAGATGGCCTATGAAGCAGCTATGACAATTCTAGCTTTGTGTGTTAGGGTCTTGTGGATAAGAAACATAACCAAGCCTCAGGAGGTTGACTTGAAGATGATGCTTGAGCTGCGGGTGTGGTCTCCGGCTTTGCTTGCTTCTGGTCATCATTGCCATCCATGTGCCACTTCTTCACATATTTTCTCACCTCGTCCGGATGAAAATCAAGTGGTAGAGAAGGCCCTGGGAGAGCCCTTTTCCCTGCACCGTCGCCCTTCTGCATATCCGGCTCAGCTGCTGGTGGTGGTGACCAACCTTTCCACATCCCCTCCATAGCCTGGCTCATTGCATTGCACATGACCTCAGTCCCATAGTTTCTCGCCAAATGTAGATGAAAGATCCTCATTGATTCCTCAAGGCGGTAAAAGATCATATGGGACAAAGCTCGAAAGCCTATGTTGTGCTCGTTCACGGCTTTCTCTACAGTGACATAGCCCTGAGGCAGCATGAAAACATCTCCAGGGAGGACACAGGAAAGGCCCAATGTTGTCAAGGCTTCAAGGGACTCATAATCTGGCGTGACATTTTGAAAGCTCTCCATGCAATTTGCGAGCGAAGTACAGGAGAACTGCGACCACAGCTCATCAAGTTTGCACGTAGCGACAATTCTGGTTCCCGATGCCTGAACTTGAATAATGCCTGCTCCGCCTGATGCATGGCCGGAAAAGGTATTGCCCCTTTTGATGCCAAAAAGCTGCAGAGCTTCCCACTTTGCCCTGGTCTCCTCAAAACGCCCCTGAGTCATTCTCCCTTGAATCTCAGAAACCAAATGCTCAGTGACGTTCTCTGAGCACAGAGCGCATGGCTGCATGAGAGTGTCCTGCAGGCAAGGTAAACACAAGCTCAAGGAGCAAGGCGTGTGAGCACGTGTTTATGAGTTCTGCTTCAAGAACTTTGCTCTACGCAACCACTAACTATATAACTAAATCAAATCTTCTTTGCAATCTCACTCCTTGTTGACATCTTCCAACTCTGCTTGAAGCGGTGCATCCATAGCAACTGCTCTTGCCAAGTCTGGATCAACGTCATGCAACACCTGCATTCGCCTGCTGCAAGCTGAACCCGGCTTGGAGAACTCTCCGCAGACATCTGCCGTGAAGTTGCGGCATGCTGCCAGAAGAACCGAGTTGGCTTGCTTCACGGCCTTCTGATCCAAGCTCAAGTCCTGACTTTTCACAAAGGCTTCTTAGAACTTCGTAGAGAAAGGCATTCCCCAACCCCAACCAACTAACAATTAGAAAAGTTGCAAGGCACTACCAGCAATGCCAAGCTTCTAGAACCTTCTTCAAACTTGCCCGTCGCAGGCGAACAATGACGGGCTGACAATCCGCATAGATCTTGAGCCCGCTTTCCTGAATTCGGGACTGTCCCGATTCTGACCGTCGGGGTCGGAATAACAACTTTAAATCCAATCATATCCAACAGTTCCAATGTCAAAAAGTTTGCTAGCAGGACTTCAAGGCTCAAGCTCTTCCACCACAGCTATCGCAGAGTCCTGAAACTTTGATCTGAGAATTGCTGGATCTGTGTCGGTCAGCTCTGCCCAAACGTTCGCGGGGGCTCTGCGCTTCTTGTTAACCTTCTCTTCATCCGGCTCAGGTTGGTCTGGCACCTCCTCCACCTCCTGCTCCTCCCTTCGCTTTTTGTTCTCCTCCTCCTCCTCCTTCTTTTCAAGCTTTCGTTTCAACTTGTCTGCCTTCTTCTTCTCTGCCTCTAGCCGCTTCTCCTCGCGCTGCTGTTCTTTTTTCGCTTCCTAGCAGGGGTGAGGGCACGGTGAGGGGCGTGACGGGTGTGATGGCGTGACGGCGACGGTTCAAATAAGAAAAAATAGAAAAAGGTTTAATAAAGCGACGGGCCGACCTTGGCTTCCAACTTGCGGGCTTTCTTGATGGCAGCTGCTTGTTGAGAGAACTGTTTAGCAGCGGTAGTCAAGGACCCGGCCAGGCTGTTCATGCGCACAAGGGCCCTCCCATGCAACTCGTAACCTACTTGCACATCCTCCACGCAACCCAGCAAGTCAGAATTGCTGCGAAAAGCTGACAGCTGACCGAGCGTTTGTGCTTCATCCCTCATGGCTCCAAGTTCAGTAAAGAATGGGTCATCCTTCATCAAACTCCACAAAGACGCAGAGACTGATTGGCCAATCGCTGGATCAACGTCAGTGTCATTCGCAAACTTCGCCTGGTGTGCAAAACGTCCCTAGTGGCTCTAGTGCCCTTATCTACAACCTTGCCCGACCACCAACCAACCCCAAATAAACAATTAGCTATTAACACCCGAGTGACCATCGTCAAGCGTTTGTTGATTTCCCGCAGGGCTGGATTCTCATCAACCATGTTGTCCGTCAACCCTTCATCGTTCTGAGCCTCCAACACATGTCGGGATGTCGGGGAGCTGAAAACAGGTGAGCAGGATGCGGAAAAAACATTCACATCTTGATGGTTACAACTTGCAACTAGTGTT